AAGTGGGGTTCATTCCAGGGATTCAAGGCTGGTTCAACAAATGGAAATTAATGAATATAATTTATCACATCAATAGACTTAAAGATAAGAATCATATAAGTATCTCAAAAGATGCAGAAAACTCATTTGACAAAATTCAGCACCATTCATGCTCAAAACACTAAAAAAATAAGGATACCTCAACATCATAAAAGCTATATATGTTAAACCCATGGCCACCATCATTCCAAATTAAAAAAAAAATAAAAAGAATTCCCTCTAAAAACTGGAACACGACAGGGATGCCCTGTAGCATTCCTACTCAACATAGTTCTTGAATCCCTAGCCAGAGCAATTAGACAAAGAAARTAACTAAAGGGATACAAATAGGAAAGAATAAGAACTCAAACTATCCCTATTTGCCCATCAGGAGGATATAAAAAATTTAAACAGATCAATTTCAAACGGTGAAATTGAAAACACTATCAGAAGCTTACCAACAAAGAAAACCTCAGGACCAGACAGATTCTCAGCCATGTTCTACAAGACCTTCAAAGAACTAACACCAATCTTACTCAAATTATTCCATGAAATGGAAAAAGAGGGACCCTTCCAAACTTCTACAATGCTGGTATCACTCTGATACCAAAACCAGACAAAGACACATCAAGGAAAGAAAACTTCAGACCAATATCCCTGATGAACATAGATTTTAAAAATTTTAAGAAAATACTGGCAAATTGCATTTAAAAGCATATTAAAAAGATAGTGCACCATAATCAGGTGGGGTTCATTCCAGGGAAGCAAGGTTGATTCAACATCTGGAAATCAATAAACACAATTCATCACATCAATAGACTTTAAAGGTAAGAATCACATGGTTCTCTCAATAGATGTAGAAAAATAATTTGACAAAATTCAGCTTCCATTCTTGCTCCAAGCAGTAGAAGAACTTGGAATAGTAAGAATATACCTAAACATTGTAAAAGATATATATGTTAAATCCAAGGCCAATATCAGTCTAAATTAAAAAATGTAATTGAAAACATTCCCTTTTAAAAACTGGTACAAGGCAGGGATGCCGTGTTTCACCACTTCTATTCAACATAGTTTTGAAACCCTAGCCAAAGCAATTAGAAAGTAGAAAGAAATTAAAGGGCTATTAATAGGAAAAGAAGAACTCAAACTATCCCTATTTGCTGATGATATTCTATATTTGGAAGACCCCCCAAAAAATAACAAAAAGTTTCTAGAACTCATAAATTTATTCAGCATAGTACAGGATATAAAATTAACACCCATAAATCAATTGTGTTCTATATATGAGTGATGAATCAACTGAAAGAGAAATTAATAAAACTATCCCATTCATAATAGTCTTGAAAAAATAAAATATACAGGAATCAATCAAAGAGGTGAAAGATCTCTACAATGAGAACCATAGTCTACTAAAGAAAGACATTGATTAAGATCTTAGAAGATGGACAGATCTCCTAAGTTCTTGGATAAGTTGAATTAATATTGTCAGAGTGGCCATACTACAAAAAGCCTTATACAGATTTAATGTGATCCCAATTAAAATCCCAACAACATTCTTCATAGAAATAGAAAAAGCAATCATGAAATTCATTTGGAAAAATAAGAGGCTCAGAATAGCCAAAGCAATCCTTAGCAAGAAAAATGAAATAGGAGGCATCATAATACCAGACTGTCGGGGGTTTTTAGCCCCCCATCTCCTCCTGACTGGCGGGAGAAGCAAGGAAAGCACGCCCTGACCAGGACGAGCCAAGAAAGGTAAAGGTCGACTGGCCACCCACACCCAGCCCTCCCTTGCCAGAGGACAATCAGACATGCCAGGGAGAACAGTCAAAGCAGGATTTGGTTAATGAGGAAGTACACACAGCTTATATACTGCACAGGAGCCAATCAGAATAAAGGTCAGAGGGGTGGAGCAAGTTCACGTGTACACCCATCCCATAGTCTACAAGGGAAGGAATGAGCTGTCCACGAAGGCAGAAGAGTCCTGGACCTATCCTGGATGTGGTCCGCCTCCTCCATCACCCCCCACAGCACCGCCTCCTGGCTGATTGCCAGAAGCCACCCCAGCCACATGTGTGGCCTCAAGACYAGGAAGCAGGCAGCCATGCCCTACACCAGACCTTAAATTATACTACAGAGCTACAGTAACAAAAACAGTGTGGTTTTTGAACCAAAATAGAATGAAAACCAATGAAACACAATAGAAGACACAGAATCATACTAGAGAAAGATGCCATAAACCTATTTTGGAGAAAAGATAGCCTCTTTAACATATGATTCTGGGAAAACTGGAAATCTCTATGTAGCAAAATGAAATTAGACCCCTATTTCTCACTCTGCACAAAACTCAAAAGTGGATTGAAGCCCTGGCCATTAGACCTGAGAACCTGCTCCTACTAGATTATATAGGCCCAACTTTCCATCATATCAACTTAGGCACCAACTTCTCAACAAGACTCAAAGCGCACAAGAAGTAAAATCAAGAATCAATAAATGGGATGTTATCAAACTAAAAAGCTTCTTCACAGCAAATGAAACAATCAAGAATATGACAAGAGAACCTCCAGAATCTGAGAAAATCTTTGTCACCTGGACCTCAGATAGAGCATTAATCTCTAGGATATATAAAGGACTCAAAAGCCTTAACACCAAAAGAACAAGTAACCTAGTCAATAAACAGGAAAAGGCACTGAAAAGACACTTCACAGAAAAAATACAAATATATGAAAAAAAGTGCAACATCTATCAATTAGAAAAATGCAAATTGAAACTACACAGATTCCCTCTCATTCCTGGCAGATTGGCAGTAATCAAGAGTACCGGCAACAGTAAATTGCCATTTATTTATTTTTTTTTTAAGAGAGAGAGAGATGAGATGAGAGAGAGACAGAGAGAATTTTTTTTAATATTTAGTTTTTAGTTATCAGCGGACACAACATCTTTGTTTGTATGTGGTGCTGAGGATCGAACCCAGGCCGCACGCCTGCCAGGCAAACGCGCTACCGCTTGAGCCACATCCCCAGCCCGGCAACAGTAAATTGGATGTGCAGAAACAAGTACACTCATCCGTTGCAGGTTGGACAATTGGTGCAACCACTCTGGAAAGCAGAGATTTCTCATAAAAAAAAAAAAAGAGAGAGATTCCTCATAAAACCTGGAATGGAACCACCATTTGACCCAGTTAACCCACTCCTCAGCGTGTACCCAAGTAATTTAAAAATCAAGATACTATTGTAAGGTAGCCAAATCAGTATTTATAGCAGGACAATTCACAAAAGATAGGTGCCCTTTAACAGATGAATGGATAAAGAAAATGTGAAAAAAAAATATGTATATATATATATATATATATATATACACATACACACACACATATATACACATTGAATATTACTCAGTCATAAAGAAGAATGAAATTATGGCATTTGCTGGTAATGGATGGAGCTGGAGAATATTATGCTAAATGAAATAAACCAATCCCAAAAAACCAACAGTCTAATGGTCTCTCTGATACGCGGATGCTAATAAACAATAAGGGTGGTGGTGAGGGAAGAATAAAAGTTCATTAGATTTTAATCAAAGGGGAATGAAGGGAAGAGAGGGTGATGGGAATATGAAAACCATAGAATGAAGTGAAAATAACTGTTCATATATGAATATGTTCATATATGAATACATGACAGTGTATCTCTATATCATGTACAACCACAAAATGGAAAGTTATACTCCACGTATGTTTAATATGTCAAAATACATTCTACTGYCATGCATAACTAAAAATAACTAAAATAACTAAAAATAACAAATTAAAAAAAAGAAAGAACTATGTTGACATGGATATCAGGCATACCACACCAATTCCTTCCAGAGGCAGCACCCTCAGTGACCTCTCCTTATCCTTTACTTCTATAGGTCCCACCACCATTTAACATTTAACCACCTTAACACTTACCTCTGAAGGTTTTCAATACTTGAGTCTTCAAAACCATATCCAAACCACATGTAGAATGATAAATTGAAACTGAGGCCAATGAGCATGGATCTCTCATTTTCTCCAAGCATTTCAGCCAGGTGTTGGAGATATGGTAGGCATACAAATGCATATATGTAGAAATGGGTTTTTTACCACTTGAGTACAATAAAGTGAGTACAGTGAGTTGAGGGTGTATGCAAAAAAAAAAAAATTGTAATGATGACCTTTAAGTGGATCTTAATGGGAATGATGGAGAAGGAAGATGTGGCAGGATCAGTGCATTGTAGGCAACTGCAGGGTAAAAATATTTTCAGAGTTGGATAGTTGAGGGAGATAACTACAAAAATAGAATATTAGAGACTGGAGAGTGTAGAACTTAAAACTGGAAATTCTCAGGAACTGTAATTTATGATAAAATCTCCTTGATTTGACCGATGGAGTGACCAAGTTAGAGTGAAGATAGAGGTACAGTGAAATTCAGTGAACTATCTGTAGATATTAGAAGGATTGTTGTTGCAAATATAGACATTGTCTAATTAGTTATGACAGAATTAGTATTGGAAAGATGGTGAGTCAGAAAGTAAAATGTTCAATAAATGAAGAAGAATACCTTGAGGGTAGATAACTGCAATAAGTTAATATGTGATGAATCCATTCTCTCCTGCCATGAGTTAACAGTATAAAGAGCTTCTGAGCAATTAAAAGTAACTAGTAGTTTTACATATGAACAAAAACAATTAGTTAATTTTTAAAATGCTATTCTGATATACATGTATTTACTTCACCCCCCAAAAAAGAATGTCAACCTTGTTAACCACCCTAGAAATCATATACAATTGAAATAAAATTTGACCATCATGTATCTTATTATTTATTAATTTCTAGTCAATAGCAGAATTTAATAGGTACCTATTGGAAGAATGCATTTTTTTAACCTAGCTCTAAAAGTTATAACAAATAAAATTCAAATCATTTTGAGAGCATAATTTTTCATTTTTTGTTTCTACAGAGATTTCTTCTGAAGGAGAAAAATACACACCCTTAATTATTGGAGAAGAAATACAATGTGTTTCACATGAAATAAATCCATCAGCTTCTGTTGACTCTTCCATCGATACAAAAAGTCCTAAGTTTAGTGAGGCATCTCCACAGATATCAATGAAACTAGAAGGAAATATAGAAGGTATGTTTTAATACCTCAAAATAAGCTAGATTTGATTTACTCATACTTAAATCTCTTCTTTATAAACAGATTATCGAGATTCGTATATATGTTTGGTTAATTCACCTCAAATTAAGTTTGCTGTTTTTATACTTTTATTTTATACTGGCCATGGTTTATTATCTTATGTGTCAGAGACTGAATTAAAGCTTGACTCAGATGATTTTTTCCAATTCATGTTCCCTTATTTGAAAGATCCCTTGGTATGGTATTCAGCTGGCAGTGAGGCCATCTAAAGGATCCAAGATGGCTTTACTGCTGTCTTGTAAGGTGCAGCTAGAAGGCTGAATTAAGATGGGCCTCCCTCCCTTTCCATGGGATCTCAGGGCCATTCTGTGACTCTTTCTAGTAAGGTAGTCTGACCTGTTTTCAAGGGCCCAGAGCTAGATTCAAAGAGAGAGAAGCAGGACCCACTTCCCAAGGGAAGAGTGTTAAAGAGTTTGCAGCCATCTCACAGATGCTGAGGTGAAAGCTGCTTGTTCTCTGAAAAGCTAGTCCGAGAATTGGCACAATATCACTTCTGTAATGCTCCCTTGGTCAAAACCAGCACAGGGAAAACAGGAATCACTTCTCAAAGATAAGAGCTTTAAAGAATTTGTAGCCATATTTAATCTGCCATAGTCTGCCCTCTGCCTTCAAATTTCTACATTATTCCCATGTGCAAAATATGCTCAGCCCTCTCAAAGCCTCGTCTCATTATGACAGCTCAGAGCCAAAGGGTGATGCTAGAAGAGTCAGGCCCCTATGTTGAGTTTTCTTGGGTACCATTCCTCAAGTATTCTCAATCTGGAGACCTGTAAGATAAAAAGTCAATTTAATTGCCTTCTACATATCAACATTAAATGGTGAGACAGGCCTAAAGACTTCTTTTCAAAACCAGGGAAGAAGGGAAGCACATAGTTGCCATTGGTTGATGGAAATTCTGACATCCGGCCAGAAGCACTGTTAGCCTGTTTTAATGGCACCAAACACTGATGCCCTCAAGGACCTTTTTTTTTTTTTTTTTTTTTTTTTGTAGTGCTGGGGATACAACCCAGGCCCTTGTGCATAGGAGGCAGGCACTCTACCAACTGAGCTATATCCCCAGCCCCCTCAAGGGTTCTTTTCTGAACAGTTGTACCTTTCAGTCTGAGCTGGTGTGCATACACAAGTAGAACTTTTTTTGTCTATGAAGTTGCTCTGAGACAGTACTCTTTAGTCTTTATAAATCATTTTGTGCAGCAAAAAGGGTCTGTAAGGTATGTCTTAATATTCCTGTGCCAAAACAGAAGAGCTTATGGTCTTACCCTTGACTTCTTCTTTGCCATGAGGCCACATTTTACTGCCCTATATTAACTCTTTGTCATGAGGTTATGTCTTCCTTTGAAATGCTTTTGCTACCTGAAAGGAATTATTCTGGGCCCTCTGTATCTCTTCTAAATTCTGTTCATAATTTAAAGAGTTTTTTTTTCTTCAATTAAGCTGTTATCTTCTACTCTGATAAGGCTGGTAGCAGAAGTTAGCTAGTACCTTCAATGTTCAGCATTGATAGCTAGCTCCTTAATTAGGTCACTAAATCCATAAAGTTTCTTTTCTATCCTCCTTATTATTGTAGGTACCAAGTTTCCTATTTCTGTGGACCAAGAATCCCTTTTTCTCCAGCCTCCACTAGCATTTTTCTACTGGCCAGTCTCCCATCAGCAATCTTTATGAAGCCCTTCCAACTTATGCCTGCTGCTGAGCCCCAAAGCCAGTGCACGTGTTTTAAGCTTTTATATCTGCACCAACTTTCAGATATGTAATTGTTTCAATTGCTATAACACAAATTATTCCTAAAACTTAGCTTAAAACAGCTATTTTATTTTATCTCATACATTTATGAGTCAGGAATTGGGAAGGTTCTTTTGCTATCATTCACTGGTGTTCAACCATCAGCTGGGCTTATCTGAAAGGTGCAAGAAGACATTGTTCTTGTGCCTATCTTCTTGGTGGGGCTCAGTTGGGTCCCCTTTCTTCATTTTAATGTTAGAGCATTGCCATATGGTTTTTCCAAAGTTGTTGAATTTCTTTCATGATGGCTTAGGCTTCCAGATGCCAAGCAGAAGCTGCCAGTTCTCTTAAAGATTTAGCCTGAAATTGGCACAGCATCACTCCCACTGTATTCAATTAGTCAAGGCAATCACAAAGCCAACCAAAATCAAAGAGTAAGAGAAACACAGCTCACTCTAGATAAGAAGAATGTTAAAGACCTTTGCATTCTGTGACCATCGTTAATTCACCACAGTAACTTAAATAATTTTATTCATTAGAGTCATAGTTACTAATACTTGTTATGGTGTGTGTGTGTGTATGTGTATATGTATGTTCAAAAATTCCATGTYGAAATCTAATCCCCAATGTGATAGTATTTGGAGGTGCAGCCTTTGGGAGGTAGTAAGGCCATGAGGGTGGAGTGTCAAAATGGTCTTAGTGTCAGAAGAGGAGGCCTACAACAGAAGCAGCACCCTAGTTATTAGTTGTTTGAAAGTGTAGGAGGATTTAGTGCACTCCAGTTACGTTCTCTGTATCCTTAAAAAAATCCAGGTAATAGTTCTACTCCTTTTTTTCCCCCTGTTTTGGTTGTTGAAAGATTTTTTTTAATGTTTTTTTTTAGTTGTAGATGGGTACTATCTTTATTTTATTTATTTATTTTTATATGGTGCTGAGGATCGAACCCAGTGCCTCACACATGCAAGGCAAACGCTCTACCACTAAGCTACAACCTTGGCCCCAATTGTTGAAAGATTTTAAGATTTAAATTTCTTCTGTGATATCATAGTGTATTCTTATATACTTATTACCACAGATGTCCATATTCTTTCACTTAGTTTTTATAMCTTCTTTAAACCAGTTTACATATTACAAAAATTTTAATAAAGAGAAAATTTTTATGAAATGAAAAAATACTTATTTGGAATATTTTTATTATWGTGAAAAGGATGAAAAATTAATGTGTCTTTTCAGAAATAGAGTTAATACAATAACAAAGAAAAACTGACAGATAAAATATTTGATTTTTCTATTATAATTAATATATTAGTCTAAAAATAGTAATATTTTCTAAATGTTTATTCATATTCTTTCAACAAACTGTGCTTTGACCCATTTCTTATTCCGTTTTTCCTTTGCAGAACCTGATTTGGAAACAGAAGTTCTACAGGAACCAAGTAGGAAAAACAAAGATGGGAGCTTGCCTTGTATTGTTACTGATGTGTGGATTAGTGAGGAAAAAGAGACAAAGGAAACTAAGTATGTTGTATCTTTTTTCTTACATTTCAAGACCCTTTTATATTACTTTAAAAAAATACTGTAATGACCTAATATTGTAATTTAATATCCTAATATTACAATACCCCATAAAATAATTTAATTTCTTTTTAAAATTTCTTTTAATTGTCAGTGAACTTGATTTATTTATATGTGGTGCTGAAAATCGAACTCAGTGCCTCACACATTCTAGACAAGCCCTCTACCACTGAGCCACAACCCCAGCCCTAATTTAATTTCTTAATAGATATTCACATGGTTCAGAAATTAACAAGTGCATAAAGTATTTGAAGAAATATAATAAAATTTCTTGCCTGCCTCTATTTCTATCCAACCAATTTCCACTATTTTCTTCCTTCAGATAATTTTAGSTATGTGTAAACAAAAATATGGGCTGGAGATGTGGCTCAAGCGGTAGCACGCTTGCCTGGCATGCATGYGGCCCGGGTTCAATCCTCAGCACCACATACAAAGATGTTGTGTCTGCCGAAAACTAAAAAATAAATATTAAAAAATTCTCTCTCTCATTCTCTCTTTAAATAAATAAATAAATAAATATACACTCTTTCTTCCTTTTTAAATATAGTTACGAGTATAAGGTAATATTTTTTACCTTGTTTATTTTTAGTCACTAATACATATGAGAAATATTTTCATATTAGTACATAAAAACGACTTCCTCCTCTTTTGTATTTCACTGTATGGATACTCTAACTCATCAAGTCTTCTGCTTGATAGACATTTAGCAATATTGCAAATAATGTTGCAATGAATAATATTTTACATAAAGAAATTTTTTGTGTATCTGTAAGATAAAAATACAGAAATATTATTGCTGGGTCAATTGCACTTTTACAGATTGCATTTGTAATTTAGTTATTTTTTTTTTCCCAGGGGTTGTATCAGTTTGAATTCTCAGAGTATATGAATGATTAGAGTTTGAACAAAGTGAAACATATGGTATGCTTATAAGAAAAAATATATATATAAGTGAGAAAAATATTTGAAAGAGAGATCACAGGATGCTAATGAATTTGAGTTCTGTTTTCTTTATATTAGAACACTTTTATTTCTGGTAAACTATGTTTTTGAACTGGTGTACCCATTTATGGCAGATTGGAAGATAGGGAAGCCATTCAGCAAAATGAAGTTTCTAAGGATGGAATCCTGAGAAATGTGGACCACTTTAGTGAGAGTCATACAGGTAAGTATCATTGCATTAGTCTGATTTCTTTCTGAAAGGTTAACACCAACTTGTTTCATTTGGGCAATATATACATACAGAACATTCCTTATCAGTCATCATAGTCATTTTTTTATTTATATATGACAGCGGAATGCATTACAATTCTTATTACATGTATAGAGCACAATTTTTCATATCTCTGGTTGTATACACAGTATATTCACACCAATTTGTTTCTTCATACYTGTACATTGGATAATAATGATCATCACATTCCACCATCATTAATAACCCCATACCACTTCCCTTCCCCTCCAACCCCTCTGCCCTAGAGTTCATCTATTCCTCCCATGCTCCCCCTCCCTATCTCACTATGAATCAGCCTCCTTATATCAAAGAAAACATTCAGCATTTGGTTTTTTGGGATWGGCTAACTTCACTTAGCATTAAAATGTAGTATGTGTAAAGCATTGGAATCTGCATTCATAAATCTGGATTTTATAACAAAATAGRCAGGAAAAATTATTAAATTATTTTATTGAGTATTTATGGARAGAATTCCTTGTGAAAACTAAACCAATATACTAAGGACATTAATAATTTTTTCTCTTTTAAAAATAGTATTACTTAAAATATGAGAAATGTAATTTTCTTCTATAAGAACAAAGATAAACTGAAAAAAATATGAATACCTAATCCATTATTAAGTGTGTTTTTCACRTATGCTTGGATCTATGTCTATATTTTAGGACTTCCAATATAATAATAATAATAAAGATTATTTAGAAGATAGCATACTCACAAATTTTTTGTTTTCCCAATAGATGTGAGTTTATTTTATATAATTCTTGTTAAATACTATGCCTTGTCAAAATTATTTAAAGCTTTATTTAAGTACTGTTCAGACTGATCACATAATCTCTCTTTTATACCCTAGAACCTGGAATAGATGATTCTCAGCACTCTAATTGTGATATAGATAAATCTATACAACCAGAACCATTTTTCCATAAAGTGGTTCATTCTGAAAAATTGAATTTAGACTCTCAAGGTCAGTCAATTCAGTGTTTACCAGAGGAATCCATTCCACTTCGTTCTCACTCTGATTCACCACCAAGGAATAAAAACAAGAATTCCTTGCTGATTGGACTTTCAACTGGTCTTTTTGATGCAAACAATCCAAAGGCAAGTATAGTTTTCAAAAGGAATTTTTATCTGTTTGGTAATATTTCTTATTGGCTGCTTTGCTTAATGTTGAGTTTTAATCTCTTAAAAACACATATGTTAATTAAATTGTCTTCTAAGTTCTATTATTTCTGACAGGAAATTTGTATCTGTTTTTATTTATTTATTTATTTAGGTGCTGGGATTGAACCCAGGGGTACTTAACTACTGAGCCACATCACCAGCCCTTTTTWATATTGTATTTAGAGACAGGGTCTCACTCAGTTGCTTAGGGCCTCCCTAAGTTGCTAAGACTGACTCTGAACTCTGTGTTTATATGCTACATGTTTTTTTTTTTTTTAATCCATTCATTTACTGAAGGGCATCTATTGGTTCCACAGTTTAGTTATTGTGAATTTTGCTACTATAAACATTGATGTAGCTCAGTCCCTATAGTATGCTGTTTTTAAGTCCTTTGGGTATAAACCAAGGAGAAGGATAACTGGGTCAAATGGTGGTTCCATTCCCTATTTTCCAAGGAATCTCCATACTGCTTTCCATATTGGCTGTACCAATTGGCTACAGTCCTCCCTTAGCCTTCCAAACCGCTGGGATTACAGACAGGCATGAGCCACCATGCCTGGCTTGTGATTCTTTTTTTATTTTTTTTTATTTTTTTATTTTTTGGTTGTAGATGGACACAATACCTTTATTTTATTTATTTATTTTTATATGGTGCTGAGGATTGAACCCAGGGCACCGCACATGCTAGACGAGCACTCTACTGCTGAGCCTATACAACCCCAGCCCGTCTTTTTATCTTCCTTTTTTATATGTAATGTTTCTTCTTCCCTCTGGCTTCTTTAAAAAATTTTTTCTCATTAGTTTCTAGCAATTTGACTCTGAAACACTTTGGTAAGGTTTTTTGGGGTTTTTGTGGGGAGGGGTGTTTTTATCCTGCTTGGGGTCTGATGGCCCTATGGGTCATAGTTTTAATCAAATAAAAAATTTGTTGGCTAGTCAGTCTGCCTTTTTTTTTTTTTTTTTTTTTTTTTTAGCAGTCTACCATTGAGTTACAACCACATACAGGAAGTATTGCATAGATGTTAGACTACTTCCGTACTTTCATAGTTTTCTGAGATTGTGGTCATTTTGTTGTTAAGTCTTTTTTCTCTTTGTGTTTCATTGTGGGTTGATTCCATTTATATGTGTTCAAGTTTACTCATCATTTTTTCTCCATACTGCTTTCCGTATTGGCTGCACCAGATTGCAATCCCACCAACAGTGGATCTTTTTCCCCACATCCTCGCTAACAAGTATTGTTGTTTGTATTCATAATAGCTGCCATTCTGACTGGAGTTAGATGAAATCTTAGAGTAGTTTTGATTTGCATTTCTCTAATTGCTAGCTGTGATGAACATTTTTTTATGTATTTGTTGATTGATTGTATATCATCTTCTGAGAAGAATCTGTTCAGGTCCTTGGCCCATTTATTGATTAGATTATTTGGGGTTTTTTTTTTGGTGTTTAGCTTTTTTGAGTTCCTTTCTTTTATTATTATTTATTTTTTAGTTGTAAGATGGACACAATATCTTTATTTTATTTATTTATTTTTTTAATGTGGTGCTGAGGATAGAACCCAGGTGTCTTGGATGTGCTAGGTGAGCACTCTACCCCTGAGCCACAACCCCAACCCCTTTTTGAGTTCTTTATATACCCTAGAGATTAGTGCTCTAATGTGTGAGGAGTAAAAATTTGCTCCCAAGATGTAGGCTCTCTATTCACCTCACAGATAATTTCTTTTGCCTAGAAGAAACTTTTTAGTTTGAATCTATCCCATTTATTGATTCTTGGTTTTAATTCTTGTGATATAGGAGTCTTATTAAGGAAGTTGGGTCCTATCCCACATGATGGAGATTAGGGCCTACTTTTTCTTCTATTAGACGCAGGGTCTCTGATTTTATTCCTAAGTCTTTGATCCATTTTGAGTTGAGTTTTGTGCATGGTGAGAGATAGGGATTTAATTTTATTTGGTTGCATATGGATTTCCAGTTTTACCAGCACCATTTGTTGAAGATGCTATCTTTTCTCCAATACATGTTTTTGGCACCTTTGTCTAATATAAGATAATTGTAATTTTGTGGTTAGTCTCTGTGTCCTCTATTCTGTACCATTGGTCTATGAGTCTAATTGGTGCCAATACCATGMTGTTTTTGTTACTATTACTCTGTAATATAGTTTAAGGACTGATATAGTGATGCCACCTGCTTCACTCTTCCTGCTAAGGATTGCTTTAGCTATTTTGGGTCTCTTATTTTTCCAGATTGAATTTCATGATTGCTTTTTCTATTTCTATGAGGAATGCCACTGGGATTTTGATCAGAATTGCATTAAATTTGTATAATGTTTTTGGTAGTATGGTTATTTTGATAATATTAATTCTGCCTATCCAAGAGCAAGGTAGATCTTTCCATCTTCTAAGGTCTTCTTTGATTTCTTTCTTAAGACCCAGGCCAACATCATTCTAAATGGAGAAAAATTGAAGACATTCCCTCTAAAAACTGGAATAAGACAGGGATGCCCTCTTTTACCACTTCTATTTAACATAATTCTTGAAACAGTGGCCAGCACAATTAGATGAAAGAAAGGGATACACATAGGAAAAAAAGAACTCAATTAGCACTATTTGCTGATGATATGATTCTATACCTAGAAGACCCAAAAAGTTCCACCAGAAAACTTCTAGAATTAATAAATCAATTCAGCAATGTAGCAGGATATAAAATCAACATCCATAAATCAAATTCATTTCTGTATGTCAGTGACAAATCCTCAGAAAGGAAAACTACCCCATTTACAATAGCCTCAAAAAAATAAAATAAAATACTTGGGAAACAACAAAAGAGGTAAAAGATGTATCTCCATTTCTACTAACTGTGGATCAGTAGATGATTTAATCTTCTACTGGCTATGGGCCATTTTTTGCCTGCATTGTGACATGTTTTGTAATTCTTTATTTGAAGCTCAACCTTGTAAATATTATATTGCTGGGTTTTATTTTCTTTCTTTAAAATATGTTGGGCTTTTTTTAACATCTATTTACTTTTGAATTTATTTTATACTTTCAGACTTTGTTTTTCAGCTTTGCTGGGACAGATATATAGTCATCTTGTCTTTAAAGCTATTACCCTATGACTTGTGACCCTTTGAGACCTCCACTATATACCCAGGTGATCACTGAGGAAAACTCCCTTCTCTTGGTTAGATCTAATCATTTTCTCTATCTGCATGAGTTCTGAACATCTTTCAGCCTACAGGGCCCCAGTTATTTTTGCCTGGCCCTGTAAAGTTTCAGGCAACTCTATACATATACAACCTATTCTTCTTCAGCAACTCAGAAAAACTACCAGTTACCTTGTTATGAATTTTCTGCAGGGTTTTTGGATTTTCCTGAGTACTCAGGGCCTCACACTTGCTAGGAATGTGTTCCAGCCTTTTCTTTTTTCATTCATTCATTCATTTTTGAGACAAGTTCTCACCACATTGGCCAGCCTTGACCTCTTGATGCCTCAGCTTCTCAAGCATCTGGGATTACAGGTGTGTGCCACCATGTCTAGCTTTTTTTTTTCAATGAAACTCTCTCCTTTCTGAACTTTATTTCATTGATCCGGCAAGGCTACACACAGAGTCCAGATATTTTCCTCCAAACAGAAGGCCAGTTTAGTGGAAAAGTAAGGGATCATTCTTGCCTGTCTGTTGTTCAGTCTCTGAACTATGCCTCAGGTATTTTGTCCAGCTTTCTAGTTGTTTTGGTGGGCGGTTGGGTCTGGTCCATGTTTCATTGTGTCTAGAGCAGGAAGTCTCCAAATAATTTATTTTCCCTAAGTAATCCCTGACATTAAATATCGTTTCAATGCTAATAACTTTATTTCTTCCTCTCTTTCTTACAGATCATTTATCTGTTCCATAAATCAAGCAGTTGTCTCTTAACTAATCTCCCGCAGTTCATGCCTGYCTGAAATCCATTGTCCAAATTACAAACCAAAATTGATTTTTAATATTATGAATCATTAATTCACTGACATGTTTAGACTTCAGAGGTTTTCCACTGCTCTTATAATTATATTCAAACTCTTTACCATCATCTACAGGTTTGATATGGCATTTACTATCTCTTCCTCAACTCAGAACCTTTCACTCTCTTTTCCTTTTTTTCCTCTGATAYATCAAATCCTTTCCCGAATTAGGGACTTTGTGCTGCCATTATCTTGGTCTGGAAGGAGCTTCTTTTTGTTCTCTTAATTTTGACTCATTATTGCCTTTTGAGTTTCATTTCTCAAATATATGTTTATCAATGGGACTTGACTCCATTTCCATTCCTAGTAATTTCCATCCATTACTTACTTATTTTATAGCAGCTATTTCTTTTTTTTAACTTTTTTTTAATATTTATTTTTTAGCTGTAGTTGGACACAATACCTTTATTTTATTTATTTATATGTGGTGCTGAGGATCGAACCCAGGGCCTCACATGTGCTAGGCGAGTGCTCCACCACTGAGCCACAACTCCTGTAGCAGCATTTCAAAGTGTAATTTCGTTTACTCATTTGTTTAATGTCTGTCCATCAATAGAATGTGATGCTCTTCAGGTTAAGAACCTTATTTATTATACATAACTATATAGATTTTTACACATATATTTACTACCCACCATGGCCTAGATATTTTTAATAAATAAAAAAGTAAATAAACATCAAATATGTACATAGTTAAAAAAGTAAGAAGTCAAATCGCTTAGTTCATATTCTAGCTGAAGACTTATAGTTGTGTGATTTAAGTGCCTTAGTTTTGCATATGTAAGGTAGGCATAATAACAATCCCTTGCTCAGAGAATCATTGAAAGAATAAAATAAGTAAAGCACCTATATCATATAAGGGCTCAGTAAAGTTAGGTGTCATCATCATGGTCATCAGGTTATCATGTCCTAGTTATAGGACATGCTATTTTAATAGATGCAAGA